TTATTTTGATCACCGATCCATCACATTTTTATCACTTTCTCAAGAAAAAAAAACAAAACAGATAATGAATATGATTTATGAGGGGTAGGGAATCGATCCCCTCCTTCGTGACATTGCCTCAACACCTACGTGGCATTAGGATCATCGATCCAACAACGTTTCATTCGCTTAAAAAAAAAAAAAAAAAAAAAAAAAAAATAATAATAATAATAATAATAATAATGATTTCGATATATCATGGGGTAGGGAATCTCACCTTTGCTGGCCATCTCGGAGAAGAGTGCAGGTGTTGATGACAATAAGAAGCACTCGAACAGAGCGCGTGCGTTGACAACGGCCACGAGATACAGATATGGCGAGCACAGGAATATGAAGGACGTACAGTGCGGTGAAAATCACTCTGTGTAGCAGATGGGATGAGGCACTTGCTGACAGAGCACGTGAAGTAGAGGCAATGATGGTGCAAATTGTACCAATGCTGCGATGGTGCGCACAAGAAATACAAAAAAACAACGGTACCGACGAAAAAGGAGGTCGGCACTAGCGAAAAGCAGGTCGGTACCAAAAATAGCGGCACCGCCAAAAAAGAAAAGTAAAGGTCCGGTTTTTTTCAAAAAAAAGGTTCGACAGGCAGATTTTGAGGCCGGTACGACGGTGGGGGGAGATGGGGTCTTATCACTGTACGGCAATGTTTCTGTCCATCGCCGCCATTTGCAATCCGTATTGTCCACGACCAGCCCTTGCGCCCAACAACCACCGCCCCAATGTCAAGCGCCCAACAGCAGTCGTTGCAACGCCTAGCGCTCAGAAGCCGCCGCCCCAGTGCCCCACATGCGAGGTGCTAGCGCCCACCGCCGAGCGTCGGATAATGCCCAGCTCCAACCACCGACTACCCTCCCAGCGCAAAACGCCCACCATCGACTTACTACCGCCCACCATCGGCTTCACCAACGCCCAGCGCCCAGCACCCACCACGACTGTACCAGCACCGTCGACCATCACCTCAAGTAAG